TTAGTGTATAGGTTTAGTGTATAAATAGGTCTTAAAACTGAAAACTAGTAATAGTTGTAAATTAATAAAGTAAACTAGTAATTTAAAATTATTTTTCATTTTATGTTAAATTAATTGATGATTGTTAAATGAAAGCTTGGGAAAATATGTATTTGATGAATATTTGTACTAAATAAAATTAAATAAATTTATTTTATAATCAGAAATTTGTTATTAAAATCTCTAAGTTAATTAAATTAAGAATGTTGAAATGGAATTAATGTTTTAATGTAAGAGAGATAATAAGGTTTGGAAATGTTGATATGGATTATATGTTAATGTATCTGATACAGTGCTGTCAAAGTTCCAAAATTTCTCTGGAACTAGTTCCAGTTCTTAAAAACTAGTTCAAGTTTTTAATCTTAGTAGTTCCAGTTCCAATTCCAGAACCAGGTTTTTAATTTTTGTAGTTCCAGTTCCAGTTCCGGAACTCCATTTTTGAAATCCGTTAGTTCCAGTTCTGGAACTAGTTCCAAGCATTTACTAGTTCCGTAGTTCTAGTTACAAACTAGTTCCAGATAATCGTTAGTTCCGTAGTTCTAGTGGAACTAGAACTAATTAGTTCCGGAACTGGAACTGGAACTTTGACATCACTGTATCTGATACAGTGTTAATGTATCTCTCTTCTTAAGTTGTCGATTTCCGTAGAAGCACCTGCTTTTAGAATTGAACCAAAACTTTTTTTGCTAATATCATGAAAAAGTCGCCCCACGAGGACATCAGCAACATAACTGAAAGTTACTTTCCGAACTTTATGCGAAAGCATTAGGAAGACATGCTGTTGGAAGAGCCAAAGTTTCTAAACTCAGTTAGTAGATCCACAAACCTCCTATTTTTTATATTTTGGGGAGTTTCTTTGGATACCTATTCTTTTGCATTTCCAAAAAGTATATTTAAAAAGCTAACTATAAAATCCCAAAAACCATTTTTAAAAAATATAAACTTAAATAAAAGTCCATTTATTTAAAAAAATTCCAGATTAAATATAAAGTAATTGTTTAATTTATTTTTTTGATACTACAATTTCTTGTACATAAAAAATGTAAAATAATAATAATAAAAATCAGAAGAATATTATATAAAAAAATATTTTAACGAAGAAAAGCACCAAAATCCAACAAAAATACAATTAAAAACCAGTTTTTAGAAATAGGCATTTTAAATAAAATTGACAAAAAAAGGGGTATATAATAAATGGGTATTTTGTCATAATTATGAAAATTAAAAAATATTTTTTATTTTCTTTTAAATCCTAAAAAATTTCTCTCTCATTCAATTCCTTTCCAAAAGAATTATTTATTTTTAAGCCAGTTAAAATTTAAACAACAGGAATCCAATGGCTAGCATTTGGTGGTAAATAGAGAAGAGTTTGGCGAGGAACATGCCGTTGCTGTTTAGAAGTTGTTGTTGCTTGTTTGGGAGAAGTTGGTGGCCTGTTTGTTGGGGGTTTCTAGAAAAAAATAAATGTTTTGGAATATTTAAAAACAAACTCCCTTACCAAAATAGTCACAACAGGAATTGAATTGTTTTGTTGTTCAGTCGAAACATTATTTGTTGTTGAAATTTCTTTTTCCTTTTCTTCTCCTCCTTCTTTCTCTTCTTTATTTTCTTCATTATTAACAGTATCAACAATCTCAACATTAAATTCAGGCACTACTGTTTGTTCATCTTTTTCTTGATCCAATTCTTTATTATTTACTTGTTGTTGTTCAATTTCAATAGAAGAAGAGGCAATTGTTGATATTGGAGAAACACAGAAAACTTGGGAATTTCTGAAAAGTTTAATTAATTAATCCCTTATTCTTCTCCCTCCACTAACCTATTATTATGTCTATTATTTTGCCAATGCCTATTATTATTGAAATGATGATGTTTTCGATGACGGTAATTGCCAATAGCATTATTTCCATAATAAATAACATTTGAACCATTAACACCTTCAAATTGTTGATAATAGAGCATTAAATTAAAAGAAAGTTGTTGGCGAAGACGATCAACCTTTAAAATTAAAATTTTGTAAAATATTGAGGCCTAGGGATTTTTTATTGGAGATGGAAGGCTAAGGAGGAAATTGAATTATTTAGAGAATAATAATTTAAAAAATTTATTTGTGCCCCTTTTAATTAAAAATCTAGTCTACCATAGATAAAGTTTGTCGTCGTTCATGTTGCATCAAACAAACAGTTGAATCTCGAATAACACAAAATAATTTGTGGAGATAATCGAATTTTAACTAAAATAATTAATTTTATTTTTTAATTAAATAGAGGAAATGACGTGGTTTAAACAAAAAGAAGATTGTTGTTCCTTAGTTTAGTGCCATAAAAATATATTGACGTAAAACTACTAAAACAATACACCCCCTCCTTTTTCTCAAACATGCCTTAAAGGCAATTTTCTGCAAGAATTGTTTTTATGTTAATTTACTGAAAATATACCCTATTTATTCATTTAAAAAATATTTATTTGACAAACAATTCAAATTAAAAAAGGATTTTTTTTGAAAAAAGGAAAAGTGCAAACGGAAATAGAAAAAATTTCAATTTTAAACAATTAAAAAACTTACATCATCCTCATTACCAAAATGATTCTGTAAATAATTGAGCAACTTCATTTCCTGCACATTAATGTCAGGGAAGTCAATAAAGAAACGAGAACACATGTACTAAAAAATTTTAGATAATTAAATATAATTTCTAGATAACTTCACCGATAAATACGATTAAAAGTAAGGGAACTTACAGTAAAATAAATTGTGTGGGTTTTTGCAAAAATGTTAGAATAATATTGGAGATTTTACAACGAGCCAATAATTAATTATTTAATCAATTTTCCCACCTTTTCCATATCTCTACAATTCGAAGTAGCAGAAAATCCTCTAGTTAATAAATGGCAATATTTCAACAATCCACCTCCTCTAATTTCTTCAGGATTTCGAGTATCAATAAGTCGTTTATTTAAATGGAATAAAGCTTGCATAAAATCTCCATACATCGATTCTGCCCGAATAATTGGTCTATTCTCGTTTGGATTTTCAATTAAAGGGTCCAAAGTTATTTGAAAACTATCAACAGAAAATTCAAAAGCCCGGCGCATTCTTTCAACAAATTTAAGTTCAATACATCTTTAAAAATAAAAATAATTTTTAGAGAAATCATCTCCCTCTCTAAATTACCTTCCATAATCATTATGTAAAGAAAACAATGACCAACGATCACTATCTGTTACTTTAACCATTTTTCTAATATAAACATCTCTTAAAGTTTCCGGCGTTATTGCAGATTTATTTGTTGTACTTGACGGCATCATTTGAAGTAAAGCATCAAAAACTGCTTCTCGAACCCGTTCAAAATCAGAATCACGTTCCAAAGCAATTGGAAAGATTAAATCAACATCAGAATAGGGAAAAGAGTCTGATTGGGCAAAAACAAAAGAAGCGGCCCCTCCATTTAATTTAACGTGTAAAAGAGGCAAACCAGCATCTCGAAGCTTTCTAAAAAATAAAAAAATTATTTTAAAAAATTTTTAAAATAAAATTTATTTTGCCTCGAAATTATTCCAATAAGTGCATGAAGTGGAATTTCCAATGTTGGGAAGTTTTCACGTCCATGTATTTCCACAACTTGGTCAAGAACAGAACGAAGTCGATCAACCTATTTTGAATAAAAAATTATTAATTGTTGGAATTTTAAGGCTAAAGCTAGAAAGAAGAAGAAATCTCTCCCATCATACCCCTTTACTTTAGATGTTAGCTGGAAAGGATCCTTTCTACATAACTCTCCAAGGATAATTTTAAAAAATTTAATTAAATTACCTGTCTAGAATTTAACGAAACAACGGCAGTTGGTTGACGAGGAGGATTATTATTATTATTATTATTATTATAATTTCCCCTTCCATTACTATTGCTGTTATTACTTCCCTCACGATGATGTCGATGAAAATTATGATGTCCTCCAAAAGTTGCAGAACGTCCCCCCTCTCTCCCAAAACGTAAAGGAATATTTTTATTTTGTTTGTTTGGGTTGTTCTGATTTTTATTATTACACAAACATTGCATTTGTGCAGCTGAACAACATTCTTGTTGTTGTTTGTTTGTGTTTAAACAAACATTATTTCCTTCACTAATATTTGTTTTGTTTGTTGTTGAAGTATTTGATGATGGCATATTTAGGTAATTATTTTTTTAATTTAAAGAAAATAAAAATATATTTTTAAATAATTTGATGATATGTTTTTTAATTGTTTTCTTTTTTTTTGTTTTTTGTTTTTAAAATAATCTTAAAAATAAAAATTAAATAATAATTAATTAATTAAACAAAAATAAATCAAAAATCAGTCTGTTTATCAGAAATAGACATAGACTAGACTATAATAAATAAAATAAACGTGGCGCCATTCTCTCTAAGGTGAAAGGCGCCGAGAGGCAAAAAGACTGTTGTAGTTTCGATATGGGCCAATGTTTAAGGAATTTTAAGGACTAAAAAACTTAATAAAAATTGGAATTTATGAAGTAGAATGAATTGATATGCTCCTTTCCAATATGAAATTTTTGAGAAAAATTTAAAAATTAAAAAATAATTTAATAGAAAAATATAACATTTAAAAGTGATTCAAAATTATTTTTAATTTGGATGCTTACTAAAATAAAGTATTAAAACAAAAGTATAATGAATCATGGAATTTTTTTAATTCTAGATTTTTAAAAAAATTATATAATATTTATAAATTAAATTTATATATAGTAAATATAATATAAATTAAAAGATAAATTTTTGGAAAATAAAAAATGTTTATTAGAGTTTATATTTAAATTGTAAAAGAATTAAAGTCTTTAAATTTTCTAGTAAACAGAAAAAAATAATTGAGACATTGAAAAGACCTTTTAAAAAGATATATTAAATCTTGTAAAAAAATTTTAATTAAATTTTATTTATATTTTTATTTTTTTTAAGAAAAAGGGAAATAAAATAAAAGAAAATAAAAGAATGAGGAATCTGGAAGTAAATGCATGAATGGGTAAATGAGGAAGGGAATGGGAAAGAAATGGGGGAAAGGTAGGTGGGAGGGAAGGATGGGGATATATGGATGAAGAAGATAGAGACAAGGAAATGGATATATATGTAGATGTGGAAATTTTTTTAGACAAAAGAAAAGGAAGGAAAATTTAAAAATTAATTTTTAAAATTAAAAATTATTTTCTTCGATTATGTAGAAATAGCAAAAAAAAATTTTTAAAAATAAATTATTTTAAACCAATATTCATCCCATAAATAAAAATATTTTTCTACAAAAGTTTATAAAAACAAAAAAAATATTTTTTTGTTTCTTCCTCTAATTTAAACAAAAAGAAAGTCTTAAAAAGCTGCTTGTAAGTCCAATGGTTGCGCTGTTGAGTAAAAAAGAGAAGAAAATAAATGAATGGTTGAAATGACGTGTGCCGCGTGCTTATTCTCCATTTACCTCCTCCTTCCAGCCTCCCTTTCCTCCCTTTCATTCCATTCCTTCTCTAGAACATTCTAGTATTTTTTACCGCCCCTTTCCGTTTTTAAGCCGATGCATGGAAACGTCAACAACTCTAAAACAAAATGACGAATGGATATATATTTATTTATTTAGATTTATTTTTTGACATCAGTTTTTCTAAAATTAAATATAATTAATTAAAATAATAAACAAAAAAATATTTATTTATTAAAAAATACAAGAAAATATTTAAATAAACCTTCTAAATTATTTAAAATTACCCCCTTATTTCCCTTATAAAGTTTAGCCAAATAAGACTTTAATATTAAAAAAATAAAAGATTTATTTGAAAAAAATTGAGAAATATTTATTAAAAATATTAAAAAAATATTTTTAAATGCGCAACAGCCAAAGAGTAAATAAATAAAGGGGAAAAAGGAGGGAAAAAAGTGTTTGGCGGCTACGTCTTTTATTACTTGAAAAATAAATGAAAATTAAAAAATGGAAGGGCCAGACAAATATTGTGGAAATGCCGGAAATGAAGGCGAAACAAAAATTTATGTTAGTAAAATTAGCAGCCCCACGGCAACGACAAATAAATAAATTGGGGGAAGAGAATTTTAAATAAAAAATAAAGATTTTCTTTAAAAATAATTTTTAAAAAAAGTTTTAAACATTTACAATTTTTTAGTTTAGAGACAATTTTAATTAAATCAGACTTTTTATTAAAAAACAAAATATTTTAATTTAATTAATAACCAAAATAATAATTTTAATAAATCTGATCTTTGAAAATTTAAAAATCAAAAGCAAATCCCGATAATAAAAAAAGAAAGTTTTTGAAAAATAATTTTTTGAATTTAAATTTAGAAAAAAAATATTAAAAAAATATTTTTCAAAATAAATATTTTAATAAGGTTATCTTTTGTGAATAATAAAAATATTTTGAAGAATGCATAATTTATTATTAAAAATAGTGATGCTATTTTATAAATAAATTTAAAAATAATTTTATTTTATTTAAAAACTTTTATTAAAATTTATTTTTGGATGTTTTTAAATTAAAAATAAGTCAAAAAAAGATTAAAGAAAAACGTCACAAACAAAAAGGGAGGCTCTCCTCTCTCGTTTACCCCCCTCCATATGTTCTTCCCCCCTTTCATTTCCCAATTTTCTATTATTATTTTTTGAGTATATTCCAATTTTGGTATATTTTTGTTTGAAAGGAAAGGAGTGAAAAAAATAAATATTCTGAGAAAAAAAGGGATAAAAAAATTAAGAGAAAATTTTTTGAGTGGGTGTTAAATGGGAGAGAGGAAAGAGGGAAAAAATGGGTAAGTTTGAGGGAAAGTAACAAACAAAAGGAAAAAATAAATGACGTATTTATTTGTGCCAATAAAATGGCAAAAGTAGAAACAAAAAAAAATTAATTTTTGTTATTTATGCAAAAGCTTTTTTTGTTTAGAAATTTTGTTTTTAAAAATAAAAGGTCAGAAAATGTTTTTTGTTTTTGTTTTCCTTAAAATGTCAATCCTTTACATAAAAGAGCACGAAAATATTTAATATACTAGAAAATATTTTGTGAATAAAAAAAGAAAGAAAATAAAATTAAAGGTGAATTTAGTTGATAAAAATAAAAATATTTTTAGTAAAATAATTCTTTACAAATATAGCTACTTAGTTCAGTAAATCTAAACATAAGAAATGCCGGATTTTTAATTTGAAGAAAATACCTAATTAAATAACTAGAAAATTAAAAAGTTAATAAAATTTATTAAAAGAAAATTGTAATTTAAATAAATAAAAATAAATTTTTAATTACATATTTTTACTCGTCATCTTTAAATTAAAAATATTTTTTATTGAAGGCAAGCATTGTTAATTTTGTTAAAAAATAATTTAAATAAAAGGAATATCCAAAAAATTCTTTAAAAATATTTTTAAATAAATGAATGAGGAAAGAGGTAAATTAAATTTATTTTATCCAAAAAAGTATCAATTTCGTCAATCCAAAAATTAAAACTTTTTTCTTTTGTTTGTCTAATAATTAAAAAAAGAGAAGGAAGTAAATTTAATTTAAATTATATATTTAATTTTTTAATTGATTTTATTTTTAGGATTAAAAAGGAAAAAAGAATAAATAGATAAAATATATAATTAAAATTAAAAAAAAATAAAAAAAATTATTTTTAGATTAAGTTCAGGTTTATTTATTTGTAACCCCCCCAAATAAATAAATTATTTTCTTCTCTTATAAATAATATCTAACAATTAAATAGCCAATAATTTATTTTTATTTTTTATATCTACATACACACATTTATGTTAATTTTAAACTATTTCCGGTGAAAAATAAAAAAAACAAATTAAAATACGTAAATCTACTAGATAATTAAAAAACAAAATGAACGCAAATAATTATGCAAAACACAAAAAAATATTTTTTTAATAATTAAAGTATTTTAAATAAATAAATATTTCCCAGAGGAATAAATAAAAAATTAAATATTAAAATTCTTCCCATCAAAAAGATAAATAGTGTCAGAATATCAGGCATAAAGCCTGTTGCTGTAGATATAAATAATAATTTAAGGGGTATTTTTAAATGATAAGAAAATATTTTTAAGCAATTTCTCCATAAATTTATGATTTTTTGGTAGCCAATTTTAGAGTTCAAATATAAAATTCGGAATTTTTGAAAACTAGAGTCGGAAAGGAGAAAAAAGTCGGAAATTAATCACCCAAGCAGAAGTCAAAAATCCTTGCAAGTCTTTAACAGTGGAGAAGGATTTAAAAAAATATTCAATTTACACTTAGATATTAATTAATATAGTTTGATTATTCTCTTTTAAGAGAGCTATTTTATTGAGGGAAAACTTCCTCAATAAAAGAATTTTTGTCTGTTTAAAAAAACGTGGGGAGAATTCTCTTTTGAATTAAACGTGAATAAAATAAGAATAAAAAGAGGGGATTTAATTAAATATATTAATTTATATATATAAAAGGGCCACACATTAAATATTTAAAAAAAGTTTTTTTGAGGAAGTCAATACTAAAAAGAATATTTTAAATATAGTTTGTTTAACTGTAAATAAAAAAAGAATTTTAAATAATTTTTTCTCTCTTATTCATTATTTATTCCTGCATTAAACGTTGAAATGCTTAAAATTGCCGCACGTCAATTAATTTGTCTGATAGTCAAATTATTTTAGAAAAAAAGAAAGGAAGAGGACTTTTGAGAGTGGAGTTTTTTTTTGGAAAAATTATTTTAGAATATCAAAAAGATGAATAAATAATTGAAAAAGAGGAAGATTTTTTTGAGAATTTTTGTATATTTTAGATTTAAAATAGAAGAGAGAGGGGGCATGAAGTTTTTTTCAAAAGTTTAGTTCAAAATGGTCGAAATATTAAAAAAATTAAATTAAAATACATATATAGAATTTTATAAAAAAATTTTGTTTGTCAAATATCCCTCTAAAAATTTAAAAGTTTTGTAAGGGTGTTGAAAGGAGATATAAATTTGATAGCATAATATTCTTATTAGAAAATAATTTAGCTTCTTGATAAATAATTTTTTAAATAAAAGTGTTCAAAAAATCCCTTTATATATAAATAATCGAGGCAAAGAATATCCGTGTTCACCCGATTTAAAAGAGCCGCCCAAGAGGCGTCAACTAAAAAAAGTAAAAATTATTATCAAAATTATTTGAGATATCTTTGTTAAAGATTTTTTCTTAATAAATTACTCGTAAGAATGTGTGAAACAAGCATTTCTTTTATAAAGAACGGCTTTCCCTCCCTCCCTACTCTCATATTTTCTTTCATAGTAAAATCACCCCAAATCTAAGTGATTGAACGATATATAACAAAAATAAAGAAAAAATCTTTTCTTTTTAACAAAGAATTTTTGACAACAATCAATCCTAAAAACAATTGGTTTATTCGCCCAACAAAAGGCGGAAAAATCCATTCCTTTCCGTTTATTAGGCCAAAAGTCAGGGGAAATATTTATTGGAGTAGTAGATATATATTTATTGGACTAAAGGTTAAAAAGAAGTGAGAAAGGAGGGGGGGGGGATTATTTGGAAATGTAATCCAATCCTTAATATTTTCTGTGAAAAGGGAAGCCCAAGAACATGTAATAAAAAGTGTTTCTTTTTATATAAAGTACTCTTTTTTAGTCCAAAGTTTAAGTAATTAAAGCTATAAATATTTGACAAAAATTGGTATATATATATTTATAAAGAATGATTAATAAAATAAAATATAAATTTGAAAAATAAATGACATTTAATTATATTTTAATGACTCAAGAATGATTGAAAAAAATTTTCAAAGTATAAAATTTTCAAAAATAGAAATTAAATTATAATTAAAAAAATAATTGATAGAGTTACTTAAATAGACATTCCTTATAGTTCTAATCCCAAATTCCTAAAAATTACTTAAATATTTTCAGATATAGAAGGGATTAGAAAATAAGAGTGAGGGAAATTGTTTAAAAAAATAAGGTATTGGAACTTGTTGAACCAGAAAGTAAAACTTTATCCTATTTGGGCAATATTCTCAAGATTATAATTAAGAGGATTAATTAATTTTCCCTTCCAAATTTCTAAGGAAATAATTATGAGAATGACCAAATAGGGAAATCTTTTTTTAATTTTATTTTTAAAAAATATGTAAACGTTATTTAGTAGATTTAGTATTTTTAATAAGATTTTTTAATAAACTGAGACTATTTATAAAAATGGGAAAATAAATAATTGTATCTCACCTTAAAAAACTTTTTTCCCAGTTAATGAAATATTTAAAAGATAAAAGTTGGGAAAATAAAGAAAATAAAGAAAAGTTGGGAAAATAAAGAAAATAAAGTTAAAATAAATATTTTTAAATAGTAAACAAACAATAAACAAAACGTTTAATCAAATCCCTCCCTTGTCCCTTTTAATTGATTTAGCTTTCCCTGTTAGCACATTCGAGAAGCTAAAAGCAAAAGCTACACGTTATTTTGAAAGAATTATTTTCTGCAATTATT